TGACATACCTATAGTTAAGTAATTAATTGATACAAAAATACAAAAAATCAGTCTTGTGTTTATATTGCATTTGACGTATTAGTTATCAGCATAACATTTATCGATGAGTGATCGTGATAGCAATTTTTTAAATCTCAATCTGATACTACTAAGCTCATCGGCAAATGTCATGTCAAATTTGAGGATTCCTTATCAGTTAATAAGGAATCCTCAGTTAATTATTAAATCGTTTGCAGAACGGTATGCACTAATCTGACTGTATTTTCTGCTCACCGGCACCTGGCTTCACCCTGGTCGGATGTGAACCTCTGTTTTGTTTTCAGGATACTGGTGCTTCTCACTACGTTTTCTCTGCTCTCGTGGTTCACCTACCAGATATTCATGAAGCACCATATCGTCCATATTCTGTACCTGTATTATTTGTAAGTAGCGGAGTGTGCACTGTGTAACGTAGGAGTTAGTTACGTTGCTTTGCGAGTATGTATGCTCTAAGTTTTTACGCGTCTTTGCTTTACATTTTACAACATGTGCAATGGAAAGTTAGTACAGTCGTGGGACTTCAGCTTTTATAAGAATCACATAAATAATGTGTTTCTAATTAAATGCACTTGACAATGCGTTAGGTATAGAACAATGCGTTAGGTATATCTCTAATAGTCCAGACAGTTAAATAACGTGTGCCGATGTCAGGTGTCGTAATACCCAAAGCACTGCCATTAGTCAGTAATGCAGTGGTGATTTTTAAGCCTCAATGAAATCATGAATGAATAGGCTCGTTGAGCTTGCTAAAACAAAGATTTAGATAATTACAGCCGGTTATCCCCATCACATCCGGCCATCTAGCGTGAATAATGCTCCTTTCTTTTCCAGGATTGTGGTATACTTTATTATATTCGGACTCACAATGGAGCCCTTCCTGGATTTGATACCAGAATACTCAAAAATACGACAGGGCACATCAGGTAAATGACGATTGTCAGCACGTGTGGAAACATTTGGTGTTTACACTTTGTCGGCCTGGTATCAGTGACATTCCACCGGTAGCATTGTCCCTTTGTTTACCGTCTAGTTTAAAACGATTCAATCGATTTAATTTTGACGTGCAAATCCATCCGGTAGGAATGCCGGAATGTCATTGTTTGCTGTTAACACACTTGTATATTATATAATGTATCAGTGTCACACTTGCTTCAGACCTGTTTATAATTCAAAATTTACGCTGATTCTGCGTTCTTACAGTCACTTGTGTCGTTGCTGAAACCTGTATGTGCTAGCAGAAAATATAACGATAATTCAATATCGTGTCCACGACATTGCTGAACGAAGTGGTTTTTTCTTCCCTTATCGCGTTTCAGTATAATGTATATGCTTTGTTGTTCACAATTCCCTTCAGTGTTTTCTGTAGCATCCAGGTAACGTTTTCTACCGTACCCTCAGTGACGTATTCTACCGGGTACCCTTAGTGACGACTTTCACCGACACCTCAGTGACGTGCTCTACTGTACCCTCAGTGATGTATTCTACCGGGTACCCTCAGTGACGTATTCCACCGACATCTCAGTAAAGACTTCCACCGATACCTCAGTGACGTGTTCCACTACACCCCCAGTGACGTATTCTACCGTACTCCCAGTGACGCCGCGGCCCATCTACCACGCCTGCTCTCCGAGCCCCGAGGGTATTCGGCAGGAGGTGGAAGTACTCAAGGGCGACTTTAACGTCCGAATCAAACAGAGCCTCTTCAACGCGCTGATGGTCGGGTACTACGTCGGCATAATACCGCTCTTCTTTGCACAGGTAAGTTAATGCCTGTTATCTTGATACATAATTGAAATCCTCTGTATGTTTGTAGTTTACCTCCGCTCTACCTTATCCTGCGAGACTGAACGCATCCCGATTTTCCTTTCCAGTATGGTTAGGTATTCAATTACCATAGGTATCTGGAAAAGTTTGTTGCCAACAATTCAGAACGCCTACGCCGCTCATTATCTGTGTACGTTCGGTTAGAACTTGGTAGACCTACGTCGCAAAAGATTCTTTGTTTGGAATGTCGACGTATCCAGTAGTTCGCACTCAGTGTACTGGTGTTCAAAGTTCACCGCTTCCACTGCGCACCATCGGCGTTTTTTAGTCCACTGTTGTACCCCGCTATCTGACGTTCTTGACCTTTGTCTGTGCCCTGTGGACACTCCTTTTTCCGCTGTCAGTGTTTTTGGGTCGCTGTTGACAGATAATGACGCGTCGTTTCATTTCCAGAACACCCTGCAGTACGACACGTTCTGGGTGGGCCAGCACGCCGTGTTCGTGTTCTTAGCCAGCATGACGCTCTACCTGGTGTACTGCTTCCCGCCGCGCTACTGCGACATCCTGCACCGGGCCGCGCTCCACCTGGGCACCTGGTCCCGCGTGGACGACCGGCGCGCGCACATCTCATTTAATCCGTGAGTACATGTTAGAGCACAGGTCAACGGGAGGACGACATCGCAGCTTATTAACTGCTCTAATGGTTCCTATAACGCACGGTTTTATGAAAATTTAACAACACTGCTCGTTACAATTGTTATTTTTATGGAAATGCAACCTGCCCATTTATATTGCAGGTGGTTTTCGTATGCCGATTCCTGCTGTTTGGATGCTAACTCTTTTTTCTTTTTCTGAAGTCAGAGTGAGCAATTATTACGGCTGATTACGACCTCACCGGTATGTTTAAATCGGTCAGTTTCCTTGGTGGGCTCGGACTCTGACATTGTTTTGACGAGGTCTGACGCGTTATCTGAGATAAGCCACCAGACCTGTCGAGTGTGTCACTCCAGTAATGACCGGACTGTAACCGCCTGCCACACAGGTGGAACCGGGAACAGCTGTGGTCGCGGGGCGTGCTGACCAAACACAGCCGCGAGTTCTACCGGTGTGACGCGCCCTCGGCCGCCGCCGAGCCGGGCAACGCGCACCACGAGCGGTTCTATGTGAGTTATAGTCGGGGAAACGCGCACCTCGAGAGATTCTACGTAGGGTGTAGTTGGGAGACGTGTAACATGAGAGATTCTACGTGAGCTTGTAGCTGGGAAATATGCAACACGAGCGGCTAGCTAAGTCTGCGCTAGTTATAGTCGGGAAACGGGCAACACGATCGATTTTATGTGGGTAATTGTCGGGTGATACGCACCACGAGCATACGTGAGTCGTCGGGAATGGCGGTTGAGAGACTCTAACAGGGGCAGCCGGGAATTATTATGTGAATGAAGGGCGAGCATTGAAACAGTTTTACCGAGTAGCTGGTAATGCACACCACAAATTATTAGGTACCTGTGCTTAGCCGGGAAATGTGCATCACTAGAGACTAAGTCAGTTTACTCTCCCCTCCCCCTCACCCTGCTCCTCCCCTGCCGTCGTCAGATGCTGTTCTTCAGCCCGTCCAGAGAGCACTGAGCAGTGGTGCGGGTCCCTCTCCCCCGCTGACTCCCTCCCCCTCTTCTACCACCTTCAGATGCTGTTCTACAGCCCTCCGGAGCGCAGTGGGTGGTACTGGCCCCTCTCTCCCCGCTGACCGCCCTCCCCTCCCCTCCCCCGTCGTCTTCAGATGCTGTTCTGCAACCCGTCCGGAGCGCAGTGCTTCATCCTAGGGCCTGCAGGTGTGCGCCGTCCTCTCCGAGACGCTGCTGCTCATCAGGGCCGTCGAGTGGTACCAGCTCATATCGGGCTCCATCCTGCTCTTTGTCAACTTCTACCCGCTGTTCAAACTATTCAGGGACTACCTTATACTGTGTAAGATATACAAGGCCGAGCGGCTGATCCTAGAGAAACAGGCGCCGGCTAGCTGAGGCGACACGTGTAAAAATGGACTCGTCCAGGGTATGACCTCCCCCGCAGTGGGAATGGACTCATCTTCATGACATGTTGAGCGTCGTGCCGTTGTTATCTTCAGGAATATTATGTTTGTGTTCCCGAACGGTGAACTGTAAGCTTGCGTGCGCGCCCGTCGTAAGTGCGAAAGGGGCGTGTTTTTAACGATGACTTAATGTGTTCGAATGATGGCTGTATTTTTGGTTCATTGCTTGATTTGCTGCACCTTGCTGCGCAGGGGAAACTGAAGTTGCTTCATTGATTCGCTGTATAACTGCCTGATATCATCGGTGGCTTTTCGCGGTGTGCGGCGAATGGCCACCCCATTACGTAATACGCTTTTGTTGCAAGGTGATACGAGACGCACATGGGTTAGAATGAGATGTTCAGACTTGTTTTCATGTTGTTGATTTGGTAAAGTCGTCATTTGTTCGCGTATAAACATTTGCACTTGTCTGTATTCCGAAGAAGTGGTAGCGCTACAAGGATTTTTAGTATTGACTTGGCATTGGCCAATAAACTTCAGTTGGCGATATTGGGTGGTTTATGGGATTGGAGGAGCGTGTGCCTCCTACTGAAATTCGTATCCGGCGCCCGTATAGCAAAGACTCGTTTTGGAGAGGGTCGATGTAGGATAACGTTTGGTAAATGGAATATCATCGGCTAGGGTGGTATATTGTTAAATCGTAAACCGCTTCTGAAGGCTGTCATTATTGCAATTCAAGATCTCCATTCGTATTGGATAACGTCGCCACTCGCCACATAATCATAGTTCGTAATGGAGACGGTTCGTGTCAAATGCGGTTTGTGTGTGATAGGTCAGGGCAATGTTGATAGGTCAGGTTCATATGAATGAGTTCGTATGAAGAGAAAAAACTTTTCGTTCGAAGAAAACCCTCTTAAGTATATATGAAGTTCGTTTATGAAACATTTCACAATGTAAAAGAGGCAGTCCTAGAAGCGGCTGCGCGCGCTAACCCACAAAGAAGAAGTCCTAGAAGCATCAAACTTGCATCTCTACTTGCATACTTGTCTGCAGACTTTCAGCTATAAGTCGTCAGAGAACTGAGAGTTTTAGCATGATCTGGTAAAAGATATCTGGCATCGCTAAATGTCAACGCCGCCTCCGCGTCATGTTTGTATACGATTGGAAAACGCGCACGGGCAGTGGAATTTGTATTATCTGTAAGAATCTTGATTTGTATTGTAATTGCATTTAAGATAAATACTTATTGTTGTTGTTTTCAACGTTTTACCCATCAGCCTAAATTGAGAGGGTTCTTATTTTTTAATTTTTCGGTAAGTTAATGTGATGTATGAAGCATGCTTTCTCTGGTTCCTCTTCATCTTCCCTGTGCTGTGTTGTCTGTAATCAGTTGAATTTCTTCTATCCACATGGTTATATGCATTTCAAATAATCATTTCGTTGAATGTACGGTAAACTAGCTGTGTTTCAGTTAAAAATCAACCAAAATTGAACGCAACATTACTCTTTAAATCTAAAACTTGTACAATGGATTTCAACCTTGCACGTCTTGTGATACCATAGGGCTGTTCACGGGCCCTGTGTGCGGTCAGACCGCACACAGCCTCCAAGCTCCGCCCACTGCGTCCCTACGTCTGCCTTCCGTCACCGCACACAGCGATCGCTGTGGCCGGTCGGGACTGGCCACGGCGGACCGTCCACCGCACTCAGCCGTGACGTCAGAGCCGCCTACCCATCCCCTACCCCCACGCCTGCTGGACGCACCGCACACACCGCACGCAGCAGTGTGCGGTGCCCGTGAACACCCCTCAGGGAACAGTCTCGATCTGTGAATTACTGATAGATGAAGTAAAACTCCATGTCATGGCTGTATATGCCCAATTTTTTAAGTATCTACTTGACAACGCTAGGCTATATTGAGCCAACTTGAATATAACTTGCACATGTTATAACTTGCGCGTGTTCCGGGGAACGTTCAGGGGAGGTAAATAGAGGACACTTATTTTGAGACTGCAGCACAAATTGTGTCACTTATTTCAAATCCTGGTAGGTTGTAAATTATGAGATTCTGTAAGCTATACATTTTTAAATTTGTATTGTTGATTTGTTTGGGAATTCAGGGACGCTCACTGTTGCATGTTCCACGACCTCCTCTCCTGAATAGCCTCCCTCTAGCCATCAAGTGGACTAGAGATGCTGACCATTGTTGATTGTGGATGGCGCGTCTTTGCGTAGAGTTCCTGTCCTGTCCTGACCACTCCTTCAATAAAAGCAGAACAAGGGAACCCAACCAGGTAAGATTACACATATAGCTGTTATTATTGGTTCTATTTTTAAAGCCACTGAAGCTGTTGCTCATGAGTCGTGGTAGTTTGGCTTTGCAAAGATCAATCAGGATCAGGTATGGACTATGGAGTATCTGATGTGGGACTGGTCTGCAAACACCATGGTTAATGTGGTCATACAACTGTGTCCAGTGTTGGCACATTAATTTTTCTTTTAAAGGGAATGTCTGTAGGTACCACTTTCCTCGAATTAATTTGGATTTGCTACAATTTTGATTTTTATGCTGAAAATGAACAGTGGAGAAAATAGTGAATTATTGGAATTTTTTAGATGTTTTCACGCAAATAAAAACTATTTTCCATCTATGTTAGAGGCAGTGTTTGCAGCAGAAGCTGATTGTGTGTTGACCAATCATATTAGGTACCTACCAGCTAGCCTACCTAGTTTTTAACTACTGCATGCTGATTGGCTGACAATTGGCATCTGCCACAAGTGGCTGCGTTGTTGGCATTCTTCCATAAGGGAAAAATTCCTGTGTAAAGGAATTGTTTCAGAATGAGAAATGGAATATCTTTGCCTAGGGTGATCATTGGGCCATAAAATCTCCTGATTTGTGCTAGTCTCAGCTCAACCTGCAAAACTGCTATTTCAGTTCAAAACCCCAACAGTGGTATATTTCCTTTAATGTTCCAAACAGTTTGAACTTTGAACACTGGCTACACAATGTTACTGAAGCTGAGGTCCACATGAAGAAGGGCAAATTTTATTCCTTTCCATGTTTTTCCATGTGCTGAATGCTAAAGCTCTGCTTATTAGTGCAGCAAACCACAATCTTATCTGACCTAACCTGACCTGGCCTTCTGCCAGACCAGAGGCAATGTCCAAAAGCTGTATTTTTGGCTTGGGTGTCAAAGGGAAATTTTTCCTCCAACAGGATGGATGAGAGTGGAAAATTGCTGATCAGGTAAGGCCCAAAGTATGGAAAAAAGATCAATACCATTGATTTTGATATAAGTTTGGTAAAATGTAGGATGTAAAATGACCACCCACACCTTTTCTTCTTGGTGAAACTGGAGCTGAAAATTGTTCTTTAAAATTCCATCCAAGGGTGCAGAATGATTTTTATTTTGAAGTTGTTTAGACCCATATCAACAAATCTTGGGATACTGGTCAGAGGGAGATGTTGGTTGTTAGGTAGGTGCAAGATTCTTACAGATAAGTGTAGGGTCATGTGGGGTTAGGTTAGGTTTGGAATTTGGATGGTTTAGGTTGGCCGTTAGATTGGTTGAGTTTATAATGCTATTTGCTGCACTAATAAGCATTTTTTGAACAACAATTGAAAGCTCCCAATAAAACTATAAAGCTGGTGTCCAAACAACTTTTTGCACATCAATCGAACAAAGTTTGTCCTTGGAAAATTATGTGGACCTTAGCTTCAGATTAACCAGTCACATACCTAAATTACCCAACTGTTACACACGTGAATGCATTGCCCTGTGGGTGTCCAGTGTCCACTAATGGGCTAAGTTGTCAGTGCATTTGGGGCCAAGACTTTGCTTCATGCTCGCTTGTAATCATTGAACAGATACACTATTAGGGACAGGTACCTGCTTGGCAGAGTTGAAGGGACATATTTTTTACATTCCAATCCATAGTTAGCACAGCCTAATGGTAACCAGCCCCTGCTGGGGCTTGGCTGGGGCTACTGAATTCCCATGCCCAGCTGGTGTGTGTGTGTGCGTTAGGGGGGGGGGGGGTAAACGCCCCTTCCTCTTAACTCGGCTCCAGGGCCATGCAGCGACACGCGGTAGGCGTCGTTTGAAAGGGCGTCAAAATAATGATGAAAACACAGGCCATTTTTAGGTCAGGTTAAAGGTCAGGTCACCAGAGGTCGTCAGGTCAAATTTTGGTCTGTTTCGACAATTTTCGACAAACCGGCGTATAGGTCGGAAATGAAAAGAGCTACAGCGCTGCAGAAAAGCGCGTTTGATAGCCCTGTTAACGCTCTTACTTAGTTATTTTCCCACATTTTGTTTTTCAACGTCTCAGGGTCAACGGTTACCTTGCAGAGGGTAAAAAGTGCCAAAAACGACCATTTTTTGCGGAAACATTTTTCTTCAATAACATTCGACTCAAAAGTCTCACGAGCTTGTGTTTACCGGTATTGTGTTTCTGTCGTCGAGACACGTCTAATTAACTATAATTTGACCTTCAAAGAGAAAGTTCAAGAATTTAACCTCAGGTCAAGGCCGTGACCTGACCGGAAAAGGTCTTGTTGCATATCAGTCGATCCGTATCGTCGAGCCGAACACATCTCAGGTGTTCTGATCGCTCTAGCATGCCTCTATCAAAAACGATTAGCGAAAAAACCATTGGATACCTTTTGTGACATAATATGACCTCAGGGGCATAACGAAGGGCCACTAGAGCAATCATTCATTTCAATACTTTACATTTACATGTTACCAGATGGTTGAGAGTATTTAGTATGTCGCTCGTCCAAAAAATTCCACTTTTCAATTTTCTTTCACGCAGAGGTTGCAAAATTGACTTAACCCTAGGTCACCGATATCAAAATTCCGAGATGCACATTTTATACATAATGTTGCCCTTATCGATTGCTGAAAGTTTCCAAGCGATCCGTTCTTCAGTGTAGCTATGGCAAGCACTAGGACTTATTCCAAGGTGAGGTCACTTGACGTGACCTGGTTACCTGAAACCTGGGCCTGAAATTTAAACGTGTGCAGTAAATATGTATAAGGTGTGCCAAAAAATGGCGTTCCGTGCCGCCGTTTTTGAGATATTCGCGAAAAACGGAAGGTATATTCGAACACCCCCCCCCCCCCGTCCCAGCAGCAGGGTGCGGGTTTAAGTTGCGCCGTCTTGATATGCGCCAGTCACTATCTTAGTTTGTTTGATATACTCTTTTGTCCTTACCACCATGATATTTTTCTTTGAGAGATGTTTTATGCTGTTTACACCATTCATTGACTATATTCATGGACACGAGTATGGATATTTATCAAACATTCTTGCCTTTTAGAGATTCAGTTGCCCAACAAGAAACTAGATCGACCTTTAACTTTGTTCTTATGTTTGTCTTGGGTCGTGTTTGATGCAAAGTCTGTCATAAGTTGACCACTGCAGCTCCGACTGGCGTAGTCTCGCCGTATCTGGAGTATTTCTGACTGGCAGGTTGTTAACCGACCCGAAGTTGCCCGGCTGACCGGCCAGCTGTGGTGTTCTCACAGTCTCCAGTGAGGGCCGAGCGGCGGGGCCGACCGCTCTGACCGTGCTCCCTCCCCTGTGTGCCGCCAGATCGGCTGGGCGTGCCCTCTGAGACAAACACTGACTCAATGAGAGCCAGAGGGCAGCATGTCAGGAGCGTCTACCAACCAGGCCAGATTGGACAGAAACAAGCCCAAATACCCTGCCTCGAAAGGAAATGAGCTGTACAAGGTGAGTGTGCTCTGTCAGTGGTCACTATCGTATTTTGTGTGTGTCTGGCTGTTAAAAGCTGAAATTTGAATGAAGAATAATACCTGATATTGGTCTGACTCACTCTTTCGGAATATTAGAGCTTTAACTTTTCATCTCGCTGTTTTAACCCGCGCGGGGCTGGGGGGGGTAAATTTTACCCCCCCCCCATCGCGAATTTTTGCAATGTCTCAAAAACGGCGGCGCGCAGCGCCGCCAAACTTTCAGTACCTTTTCCTACATCAATTTGACACGTTCCCTGAAAATTTGAGCGAAATCCGTCGGAATATTTTTGAGAAATTGACGTTTTAGTGACGTCATGTTCGCCATTTTCGCCTCAAAAACGGCAAAATTTCAAACGCCGCTAACATCTTCATTTTTAAAGGAATCAAGACGTAACAAAAAGGTTATACGTAATTTTACTTTGTCTATCAAATGGCTATCTCGGTTTTTTGAAAATTTTGGATTTTGGCCCAAATTTTTTCAAAAAACTGACTTTTGGGAAAATAATTATAAAATCCAAAATTTTGAGTGTATCGAAAAAAACGGAATATATGTCAGAAGTGGTCTATGTGCACCTACATACCAATTTTTAGAAAAATCGGTTAAAAAATGTGAGAGTTATACAAAATTTTATGACGTCACGACACACAAAAATTTTGAAAAATGTTTTTTTTTTTGGAAGTTCTAGACCTCGTACGGAAACAAAAATAGCACCATTCGATTCGCCGTGAAAAACTGCATCAGATAGACACCTTTTTGGGCCTTAACAGCCAACTTCAAAATTTGACCTCACTTGACCTGACCTTGACCTGACCTCGACCTGAAATTCATCCAGAGGTGGTCCATATCACCTATTGAGTGTGCCTATTGAATTCTATGAGTAAAATGACCCATAAAACATGTGTCGCACATGCCCTTTTCTATATTTTGTTTTTGGTGACCTGACCTGACCTGACCTGACCTTGACCTTGACCTCTGAATGATATTGTATGCAACGAATATTGTCTTGGTAGCCTAAGAACACGTTTTGGGCAATCAGTCTCAGTCCATGACTCCATTCTTCGGCAACTACGGTGCAAGGCCGATACTGGCCGACTTGCAATTTGTACCCTTGACCTGACCTTGACCTTGACCTCAAACTTTAAATTAAGTACATGTTTTTAGTTGTTCGTGATGAGATCTTTCGATTGGCGTTTGAATTTTCCAAATCGGACCATTAGTTCGGGAGATAACAGGGGGGTAAAATTTACCCCCCCCCCCAGCCTCGCGCGTTCGGCTGGAGACCCCAGCCCCGCGCGGGTTAACAGTAACTAGTGATTCTTTATATATTTAGATTAAGCTTTAAACTATTTATCTGAAAAATGGATGCATCATCGATATTTCAGGTTACTTTTGTTTTCTTAACGGCAAAAATGATGGCTGAATATAATTGTATCCACTGATTATGAAGCCATCTGACAGCTATCTAGCGACACAATGGACTCATCTTTCTATGGCCTGTTTCAGAACAAGCCTGTGGCGTTTCAGAACCGAGGGCCGTTCAACAGATATGGTCTGCAGAGCGTCGGAAAGCCCGTGTCCGCCCGGAGAATACCGCCGCCGGCGCAACTCCCCAGGTCAGTGACGGCGGCGGCGGCAGATCGGAGACAGAATTTGTATTATCTGAGATAATAGATGTCAGTTACTGTAATAATGTTGTGGATTTTATCAGCTGATTTGTTTCGTTCCTGGGTCGCTCAGATTTATCAAAACAGCGCTTATGTTGTCGGAGACTAATGACAAAATTGTGGCCTGTTTTCTGTCAATAATAGCAATAATGCGGCCGCAGTTTTAGTGCGATCTTTGTCTAGCAACTTCAGCTATTTAATTTGCATTGTCCACGTGTTTCAGTTTGAAGTCTGAGAACAGTGGGAACGACCCGAACGTTACTCTCGTCCCGCTCGGTGGTCAAGGATGGGGCTCCAAAGACTCGGCCGCTGCTGCCGGCGAGGGCAGTGCCAAGCCGGCGGCTCCGGCGGCGGCCCCGGCCCCAGCGGCAGCACCAGCCGCGCCGGCCGGACCGCGCACCTGGAGCGGCGTCACTGCCGGCTCGGCGGCGCCGGCGCCCTGGAGACCTGTGCGCCAGTCGGCCGGCTTTCAGCGCGAGTTCCCCTCTCTGGCCGGCGAGTCCGAGCCGCCGCCGGCGCCGCAGCCAGCTGCCCCAGCAGCCCAGCACACGGCTGCACCCGCCATCCAGCGCCCGGCGGCGTCCCAGCCGGCGCCGGCCGCGGAGTCGACCGGAGACGGCGGCGCGCCCAGTCTGCGCCCGACCACGGCCGGCAGCTGGGCGCGCGGCGGCCGCCGGACCGACGGCAGTACCGCGTCTGGCCCGGCGGCGGCGGCGCCCGCGGCCGCGCCGGCTGAGCGGCCCGCAGAGGCGGCGGTGACGGCGCCGGCCCCGGCTCCGACCGCTGCGGCTCGCCCGGCGCCGCCAGCCACGGCCGCCATCAGCGGGCCAACCTTCATGCCAGCGTTCAACGACCTGATGCCGGCGTACATGCGGCCGGCCGGCCAGCCGGCATCACGGCCGCCCGCGGCGGCGCTGCCCGCTCTCCAGCCGACGGCGCCGCCCAGCCGACCGCACCAGGAAGCGCCGCCGAAACAGCCGCCTCCGCTGCCGGCGGGCGGAACCGAGCCTGGGCGGCCCACCAACCATCGGCCCATTATCAAGGAGGAGGACCTGCGCAGCTTCGACGACCTGGCCAACAAATACGACAAGGGCTGGGCCGCCGGGGTTGACGACATCGACTACAAGTAGGTGGTCACTTCGGTCACAGTAAAAGAGCTAAATCTTTGCGACGGTTACACTGATATAACGTTTACAGTGATAAATATTACGTAATTTCTGGACTTCCGGGGCCTTATCTGGGAAAGTTAGGTACATCTTTTGCCTCTTATCAGCTTTCTTCTAGTGTTGCAGTTGTGAGATTATGGCGTAATAATTTCTCTTTATTTTGTAGCTATTTTTGGCTCGAACCTGCCAGTGTGTCGCCTCTAACCGTTCTTTTTCCCGCCCGCAGCAAGAAGCTGTCTTTCTCGGACGACGACAGTGAGCCGGAGCCGGAGCCGACGCCTGCCAGTCGGTCTTCCAGCCGTCCCAGCGGCCCGTCTGAGCGGCCCGCCGAGCCGAACCGCACCGCAGAGCGGCCGCCGGACCGTCCGTCGGAGCGCGCTCCGTTCGACCGGGCGCCGTTTGACCGGCCGGCCTTTGACCGCGGTCCGCCCCGGCCAGGACTGAACGACTGGCGTAGAGACGGTCCTCCGCGGCCCGGCCCGGCCGCCTACAACGGTCAGTGCCGCTGAGCTTGCTGTTGTGTCCAAGGCCTCGGTGTTCTCTCTCATTAAACTTTAACGAGAAGAAAGTCTGACGATGTGATTTCCTGAATTATCTACTTAAGCGAGCTCTCGACCTTCATTCGCATTAAATATACCATTCAAGATGCAATTCGATCTACATTCATTGTAAAACTTGTTCAACTTTTTAGGAAGGGCGCGCTTCGCTTAGCAGCATTTCCAGACTTGAACGCATAATTATTCATGACCTGAAATTGGTTATCTTTTAAGCTAGGATCACTATTTGTGTTGGAAGTCCTTATTTTGATAACCCTACATAAATGCTGATGCTGACTATATGCTGTTCTCCATCAGGCGGCCCGGGCAGCTACCCCGGCAGCAGCAGCGGGTGGCCGGTGGCCAGCCGGCCGGACCCGACCGAGGCGCGCCGCCGCGCCGCGGAGGAGGAGGCCGCCTGCCGCCGCCAGGCCGACGAGGTGGCCGCGGCCACGGAGCGCGCCCGCCGCCGTCGCCAGGACGAGGAGGCGCGCTTCGACCGCCGGCGTCAGGAGTCGGCGACGGCCCGCGGCCCGGGCGTCTACCAGCCGCGCTTCCAGCGACAGCAGTCGGGCGGTCCCGAGGAGGGGAGGACGGCGCCGGCGGCCGGCGGACGGGGCACGGTCAGGGACAACCGGTACAGTGACGATGTCAGGTTCAGCCAGCGATCAGATGGAAGGGACGGACGTGGAGGCACGCCACCGGACAGGAATCGGCTACAGAACAACTCGGTGAGTGAAAGTGAAAGGATGGTTTGGACTAAGATCGTGAGTCGTGACGGTCGTGGTTTTGCTGGATGGTATTTGAGAATGATCGCTCGAATGCCTTATTATTTTGCTGCAGAATATATAGATACTTTGGTTCCCAGCGGGGAAAAATTGACTAAGGATACCAGCGGGTAAAAACTGGGATTTATGCTTTAAGCCAGGTGCTTGTTGCGCTTTGAGCCCTCTTTCGTGTCTTTTCAAATAAATGTCTTACCTGTCTTTTATGCCCGTCAATTATGCAACATACCTCTGTGTTCGTTTCGGCAACTCGCCTATGATCGACCCATCATGTGTCTCTTTAGCCGATCTCGCTAACTGGCAGCGTTCTGTCCTTGCAGCGCGGCCCCCGCCACTCGCCGCCCGACGACCGCCGCCGGAAGGAGGAGCCGCAGGAGGAAGAGGAGGATGAGGAGCCGCGCAACTACGGCTCCTCCTGGGTCGACCAGCTCGAGGTGGAGGTGTCCCCGGCGCTGGCGGCCCTCCAGTGCAGCTCTGACCGCCCTGATACTAACGATAAGCACAACTCTACGGCGCCTGCGTCCTCGACGAAGGCTGTGGATACCGACAAAGCCCCAACTCCGGCTAACTCCACTAGTGGCAGCGTCAAGCCAGTGACCAGTACTGCTGCCAGCAGTGGTGGTGGCGGTCACTCCCGGGACGGCGACCCCAGGCGGGATGAGCAGGACGTGCGGCGGCAGTCGGGACACCAGCCGCCGTCTGTCAGGGAGCGACCCGACGAGCTGGAGCGGCAGAGACAGCCGGCGGCGCCGCGTCGGAGTGACAGCGATCGCAGCAGGACGTCGGGCAGCAGTGAGAGCTCGACCGAGCTGTCACAGGACGGATCGACCGGTAGACAGCGGCGGGTGGAGCCCGGCCGGCCGGCACCGCAGCAACCGCAGCAGCAGCAGCAGCAGCACTATCCCCAGCAGCAACAACAGCGGTACCAGCATCAGCCACAGAACTACCAGCAGCAGCAGCAGCCCTACCAGCAACAGCAACAGCAGCCGCATTACCAGCAACAACAGCAGCAGCAGCAGCAGCCCTACCAACAGCAGCAGCAACAGCCCTACCAGCAACAGCAGCCGCAGCAGCAGCTAATCGACCGCGACATGAGCCAGCCCCAGGCGCCGCCGTCGGCGCCACAGGAGACGCCGGCCACCAGACACCTGTCGGTGAGTGGAGACATTTTGGGGGAGTATCTACAGCTTTTAAGCTTTTTACCACTGCGGTGGTCTTGTGTGCCTGTCATTTAGTCATATGGAGAACGATCATCCGTTTCTTCTTCATTTATCATATATGGGATTAAAATCTTTGTGGGATGACACGGCGAAAAATCGACGTCATGTGCCCGTTTTAAAAACTAAAAAGTCGTGAAAAGTATAGACATAAAATGTTATTACAGCGTATAACTGACAGTAGGTATCCTCCGCCTGAAGTCCCGGCCGTTTTCCACAGGAGGAGCGTGGCTCCACCCCGGACCGGTCGTCTTACCAGCACGGTCCGGGCGCTCTCGGTACCGGCGGCTGGCAGGATGGCGAACTGGACTCCCCGGCTGTTCCCGCCGCGCTGGGCCTCGGCCGCGGCCGGCCTCTGCGCGGACAGGACGACCGGTCACGTGCCGCCTTCGAGGCGCCCTGGGAGGAGGTCATCCCACCAGCGGAGACCAATGGCGAGCCGGCGCGGCGCGGGCGGGGTGCCGGCCGCGCGCGTGACGGCAGAGGCCGGCGGCGTGGCGGACGGCCGGGTCCCGACGGCGAGGAGCCAGTCGGTGAGCGGTGGTCGGGCCGGCACGAGACGCTGCCGCCGCGCTTCCAGCGGCGCCGTGACGCGCCGCCGCCGGCACCGGAGGAGGAGCTGGGCTGGGAGGGCCGGCCGGAGCCTCCGTCCGCCGCGGAGGAGTATGACGAGGAGCGTCTGGCGTACAGCGCCGCCGCCATCCACCAGGCGATGATGGACGGGGAGCGGGCGGAGCCGGCAGAGGAGGAGGCGCACCAGGGCGGCCCGCTCGGCGGCGACCTGCGCATGGACGAGCCGGGGGAGACGGAGGCGCGCAGACAGCGCAGGGACGACCGGCCCGGCCGCCGCGCTGCCGAACCACCCGCCGCACCGCGCACCAAGCCGCACGAGCGCTCCCGTCAGAGCAAGCTGCCGCCGCGACTGGCACGACAGCGTGAGTCGGGCTGGTTGCAGCGCCAGGCCGCCGGTCCGCAGGAGATGGGGATGTTCGGGGCGCCCGCGCCGCCGCCCGGCGGTGGCTGGCAGCCACCGATCGCCCCGGCTCCGGGCTCGGCGCGGCCGCCGGTGTCGGTTAGCTGCGCGGACCCCGCCGCCCCGGGGCAAATGTTCAACGTGCGCTCCCTCGGCGGCGCCAACTTTGACGGCTTCGACGGCGCCAGCGTGCCGGCACGCACCATCATCTTCGAGAATACCAACTTCAAGAACAGCCGCACAGCGCCGAAGCCGGCGCGCAGCCCGCCGCAGCCGGCCGGCGGCGAGCCGCGGGATGTCACAGCCCCGCAGCCGCCGCCGGCCGGCAAACGGGCGCCGCTAGAGCTGCCGCTCATGCTGGACGGTGGCGACGAGGCACGCCAGATTCAACTCGACTTCACCTTCGACCAGGAGCTGGCGGCTCTGGCCTCCCGCGCGCCGGCGCCGCCGCCAGGAGTGGCCATGTCCCGCGGCACGGCCGATCTCAACATGAAGATAGCGTCTGTGAAGAAGGTCTGGGACACGCCGGCCGCTCCGCCGCCGCCGCGCGGCGTTCCCTCTGAGGAGCGCGCCAGCAGTGGTGAGTCAGCGGACCGGGTGGACCGAGATGACTCGGGGCTGGGCTGGGAGGAGCGGCCAGCCGCCAGTCTGACGTTCCCGGCCGCGGCCGCCTCGCCCGGCGGACCGGACGCGGACGCGGCTGTCTCGGCGCCCGGCCCGGTGAAGCCGCACACGAACCCGCACGCTCTCCGACCGGGGATAACCCGTAATGGCGGCGCTCCGATGTCTGTGTCCGGCTCCGTGGTGGCTCCGTCGCCCGCGGAGACGTTCGCAGTGGACGCGATGCCGAGCCGGCGGCCGCTGTCGCAGTACGAGCTGTACGCACCGCCACCGCTGGACCAACTCTCGCATTACGCCTACCCGGACCATTCAGCGGCCTTCGGCAAACTGACTGGGAAACCGGAGCCAGCGGCTTACCAGCCGGCGCCACTGCAGTTTGTCCAGTATGGCGCTCCACTGCTGGGACAGAGTGTCGGCTCCCACCTGCTGGGTCAGCATCTGCTGCACAGCCAGCAGCCGGCCGCTACTGGACTCTACAACGGACCGCAGGCTGCCTACTTCCAGGTCAGTAGTCGCGGCCAGCGGTGAGCCGCAGCGAGGAGGATTGTTGGGGCGGGAGGACACATAGGCCCTGCTGCTGATATTTTGTGAAGCGTGGGCTTTAGATTGACGTTTAATGTAGTAGCTACCTGGTCGTCCGAAGGGTGTATTATTTCTTTATTGTTTCTGACAGAATGCTTCAAACCACACCAGGCCTCAAGCTCACCCAGCTTAGTTTTTTTCCAAAGAGTAGCCACAATGCCACAAAATTGACCAGTGACAGAACTCAGAAGAGCACGTCAGTCTTTGGCAATGTGTTGCCGTGTATCAGCCTACAATTCGAACCTAATATGCCTGACGCCACGTTTCCCCGGCCGCCGACAGGGCATCCCGCCGCCGGAGCCGCACCTGCAGTCGTTCGGCGGCCTGCAGTCGTTCAGCGGACTGCAGCAGCTGCGGACGGCAGTCGCCGCCTCCGCGCCCTGGCGTACTGCGGACGCTGCGGCGGCCGTGGCGGCAGCCGCCGCGCCCGGCGCCGGCTCGCGCTCGCCCAGCAGCGCCGGCACGCCCTCGCCCTCTCCGGCGGCCGGCGTGCAGCCGTACCCGCCGCCGCCGGGCACCCGCGGCCCGGCCCGCCCGCCCGAGGCGCCGCTCTACCAGAGCCCGATTCGGCGACCGGTGCCGCTGCCGGTGGGCGGTGTGCCGCCGCCGGGCACCGCCGGCAGACCGAACCCGAGCTCGGCACAGCAGCAGAAGATGAGAGAGGCGGCGCTCCACCAAGCGCAGAACTTCTTCAGGGCCGGCCAGCAGGGTGAGTTCAGCCGTCTTCCGGTGTCAGGGCTGGGCGCAAGAAACCAGTAAAGTGTCATTTGCTTAGTATTTAGCTGCGATTAGCGAGAATGTCGGGGAGCTTTGATTTTTCAACTTAGCAATCTGCTCGTCGTATCAGGAGGACGGATTCTTAGTTTAGCGTGTAATTCTCAGTTCTTAGCTTTTTTATTCCACAGTTTATTATAAGTTAAGAGGCTGGCTTCAGTATAACAGGTTGTTACGATAGTTCCACGGCGGAGGTTGTCTGGTGGGAGGTCATATTTCAACGTTTTCCCTTCTCCACCAGGTGCTCCAGTCGGCCCGATGCCCGGCTCTCGGCCCCCGGACGGCGTCGGAGACGTGGGCGCCGCGTTCGCACAGGCCGACGACGGCAGCGGTGGCGACCGGGCAGCGCGGGCCGCCGGCCGGTACCGGCGCGAGCAGGCGCGGCCCGGCCCCGGCGGTCCGCCGCCCGAGCGCAGGGACCAGCAGCGATGACCGCCACCGGGACCCCCGGAGGACCACGGACCAGACGCAGCACCGAGAGGGACGCCAGTGGAGAGGACCAGCGCAGACCAACGGCGAGAGCACAGAGCCTTCGCTCGCCAGTCCGCCTATCGAGCAACCCAAACGCGGCAGTGTGCGGAGCCGCAGACACTGCGAATTTCAAGTGTCGCCAGAACGGCTAAGCAGTGGAGTTGAACGGACGACCAAGCTGATCGTGAAATTTGATTAAGACGTCGTCTTATGTGTGTCAGAGCGGCTGGCGGCCAGCCCAGATCTACCTGGGTGCGAAGTCGCAGCGGCGCTGAAAGTTGTCGGACGTCGTGTTCACTAGACGTCGCAAGCATGGGACGTCGTGAACTCTTTGGACGTCATGAGCATTAGACGTTGTGAACGGTGGACGTCCTGAGCGGTGGACGTTGTGAGCATTAGACGTCGTGAGCGGTGGACGTCGTGAACGTTGTAAAACGTCGTGGTGTAGTGACCGTATCTGGTAGGATACCGGGCGTCACATTGGTGTTGCTGCACATTCGTGCGGCGCAGCCGGGAGCGTGGCACGTGCCGACACGTGCAGTGGCAGCGGCCGGAGCCGTACGTGGCGGTGACACGTGGTGCGTGCACGTGACTGGTGACGCGGCAGCGGACGGACTGCAGTAGCGGCCGCCCGCCCTGGGACGCTCTCTCAGCACGGCAGTAGCTCTTCGTGACCTTGTGCATTAGCCCGGTGAGGCGGCGCGGGCCGGACGCCGCGGCGCCGGCCGCCCGCCCCCGCTGAGCTGTCGGTGTGTCCAGATGGCGGTAATACATTCTGTTGACCACGTCTCGTTCTGCTGCAGGGACCTGGCCGACGACAGCGCGTGCCCATGTCATCATGCGCGCATTACGAACATTCGATGTTTTGTCTGCGCATGCTCCACGCGTGACATGTATGTTGCTGCATGACTAGGGAGCATTACATGCATCATGCACGGACGTCATACCTCGTATTTAACCTCTTCACAAGGGGCGCGCGCATACTTGGATGGGAGACTTAATTACAATAATACAAGCCGTGCTGCCTCGCCCTCTTTTTCACTCGTTTGGAAAAGGACACGCAAGTGTCAGAACCAACATCACATCCCGCTACATAATCAGCACGAGCCACGAACTGATGCATGCGAACATCTGAGGCGTAAAAAAGATCCCTTCTTTCGAATATCAGCAGCAGCACGTAAACATAAAGCAATGTAAAGGAACTACAAAGTTCGAACAGATGACATCAATTAGCTTAGTTACTTGCATAAATCTGTTATCAAGACGTGTAAAAGTGGACTGTACCACGGCGTGACCAAGGCGTGATAAACAATGAGTTAGAAGCAGGGGGTCTAGGTATACAAAGAATGACAAGCAAATGACAGCGATCGCCAGTTGGCTTTACCGCTATCAGCCCGGTAGTTGAAGTCATCGCGACCAAACAGCTTCCGCATCCCTGATTAGGCCCGCATCACGGATCTCACCCAGATGCATGAAAAATTGTGCTATCCATGCCAGACATATATAAAACACGACAATATATTTTGAATATATTGTCCTTTTTGTGCATGAAAAATGGTTGATTTATGAGCGCAAACAGTGTATCAAGATCAATCATACTGACTTGCACAGGGAAGATTCGCATCGCCCCCACACGTGAATAGTAGATTTGAAGCGGATATTATGCTGCCCACATCCCTTATGGAAAATATTTTGTCTTTGTAAATATTGCATCGTTAAAATTTCATATCCAAGCAGCTGAAAACTAGCGAACGTCATCTATTAGTTGCATCCTGTATTGAGCCTTTTAGCTGAACAGTCACGCGACGTTAACAATATATATGATGTAGAAAGCCCGCATACTGGCGCGAACCAGCATATTATACACTGTTTCAACCACACAGCGTTTGATTATTCAGTAGATAGCTTAGTTAGGTGTACTCTTACTGTCTTAGAACACAAATCACTGGAACACAAACAACATTTTGCATTGAAGAACACAGTACTGTTCACAGTACAGTTCATACACAGTACTGTCCATACTGTTCACAGTACAAAAGTTAAGCCGAGTTAACAAGCAGTAGCACCAGACCCAACAAGCAAAAGTAATACTGAAAGAGAAAACGCCACACGCATTATATCTACCCTTCGTATACAACCCCGTCTCAGATGCCATGAACATTACATGTGTACATACAAATCGGAAGGAAGCGCAGTGACTCCACATAAAAATCACTCATTCAAACTAGCAAATAATCTACTTACAAAACTCAAGATAACTGAACGCTTCTTCACAACTTGACAATGCCTCCGCCCAATACCGGCGCATTACCTACATAGCCCATTCTACTTCTTTGTAATTGAAAGGTGCTTTCTGGCCCCCGGCTTACATATAAACACTTCTATAACAGCTGTTCACCATATCCTTCGAGTTGCTTCCCCGAATTATACCGCACTGGCCACGGCATTCATTCGTTATAGACTCTTTACACACTTGTCCATCAAGCACCTCTTGGGCACCGGTTCTGCTGTCCATGACCATTGACCAGCACTCTACCCTGTTCAACGCCCCTCCGGGAGCAGCGCACACTCACACACCGGACGGTTGGTGCGCCGCTGCGTCGAAATCGGCACGGGAGCCAGGACAGTCTCCGAGTCTGCATTGATACGAGCGTGTCACGCCATCAGCCGACGTAGATACTCACTGCGCAGAACATAAGCTGAGCCGTGCAGACATACGCGCTGGGACGGTAGAGCAGAGGTCACCCAGGGATCACCAAAGGACGGACCGATCGGACAGTTACTCCGATGGACAGACGGCGATGTCAGATGGGTGCCCCGAGCAACGGACGGACGGGCCTGACGGTACCCCGACCCATCCCCCGACCAGCGGACGGCGGCGGCGTCTGACAGCCACCTTGACCGACAGACGGCGATGTCAGACGGGTGCTCCGGTCGGCCGCTGGTCAGTGGTGACGGATGCCCCGGTTGGCCGCTGGTCGGTGGTGACCGGAGAGTCCGGCACGGGCTCCGGCTCGTCACCTCGCTCCTCCCTCGGAGAGACGCTGTGACCCAGCATCGGCCGCACGTGCACCTGTCGCAGTATCGTAGAGCCACAGTCAGTATCGGTCACTGAATAAAGTGAAGAGTGGGGGAGAATACGAAACCGGGGAGAATACGAAACAGACGATCCTGACTTGAGATAGCTACATCCTCTCACATAATACAGCTCTGCTGTTGAAGAGACAATTTAACTTGTCAAACAGGGTCAGATATAGGGAGCGGCATGAAAGTAAACTTGGGGATTATCCAGCAAAAGGGGACACGATGTTAAGCCAGAGTAAACAGGCTGTGGGAAAGACCAGCATGCAAAGGTTGTGAAAATAAGACAATCTTACGGAACCACATACGATCCACATGATCAAGCTCCAACACAAGTCACTCGCCTGTATGAACATATCCGTCTCGTCGGGCCGCGTCAGGAACGGAAAGTTGCCGCCCGTCTTAAGGTGCGCCACACGCGCGTGGGGGTAGCAGCGCTCGGCCTCTGCGCGGGCCTGCTCGGTGAGCGCTGTGGCATCCAGGGCCTGTAGTAGTGTGACTGGGAGGTGTCGCAGCTTGTCCACAGCCACCCGACAGCCGGTGCTGCTCAACGTGAGACGAGACGCCAGCTCCGCCTGACTGAGCTGGGACAACTGCCGGGGATATAGGGGCGGTTACACGCAGCTCTGCCTGAATCAGATGGGATAGCTGCCGGGGACGGTTACATACGGCCAATGAACGTCAGCTCTGCCTAGCTGAGCTGGGATAGCTGCCGGGGATAAAAGACAATTAAACACATGACCTGCAGTCGACAAACAAAGGACGCCAGCTCCACCTGAATCAGCTGGGACAGCTGCCAGGGACGGGAGACGGTTATACACAAATACAAATGAAATAACGAATGATGATAAATCATGCATAATTGCGAGGTCGAGAGACACGATCACTTTACTTCACTTCATATCATCAAAAGTCACAAACAATTCCCACCCACACACTTATTGCACACACCTCCCAATCGATGCCTCGTACCACATTTGACCGTCTCACCCGCTTTGTACCGTCGCACAATTAAAAAGACACCCACCTGATCTACCATGAAGTCGAACGAGTTGGCAATATCGGGACGGACGCAGTCGTGACTCGGGAAGCCCTGCAGGATCATATTCTTCAGCACCAGACCCGGCACCAGCCAGTAGCTGCGGAGCCACAGACACCAGTCATTGATTGACAGATTATTTATCGATAAGGGCTAGGGTTACACGTGACAGCCATCAATTTCGGGCACGATAGAGCTGCCGAAACTGCACAGACGTATCGTATTTCTGATGAGGCATCTTCAGAGATATTTCACTAGGGTACATTTCGAAATATGTATAAAACCATCCATGCTTTTATCCAGCAACACAGAATGTAAATCGTACTAGAGTGTTGAGCATTCCACCAGCCGACCAGCAATAAAAATTTAGCGAAACAAGTAAAACGATATATTCGCTCCAGCTAGCAAAAAATTCCATGACACGTGCAGGCACCACAGACCGCAATCGACGAGTGTATCCGTCATTGAAAGAGTCGCTTATACAAATACAAATTATCAACCAAGGCTCGCATCCCAGGAATGTCCCCCAACCCGTTTTCACTCACAAGGGCGACACCGCCGTCTTCTTGTAGATGCGCGTGTCCACAAACGCCTGGCAGAGCAGGAGCGAGGCCACGCGCGGCGACTGGCGAGTTGCCTCGGCAAACTTCTGCGCCAGGAAAGCGCCCAGGAAAGAGCCGAACAAGTGCACCTTATCCAACCGCAGCTCGTCCAGCAGACGACGGAAGCCCTCACAGAACTCCTGTACTGACCAGTACACTGGATATGAGACCTGTCACACGGAGAAATAGAGGTTCAGAATTCAGTGCACCAGGGTATAACACTTGTCACACAGACAAAGTGCAGCACATAACTCCAGTGCTGCAACTAAGATGGAATGAATTTCAGACCGACATACCCCGGCCTGCCTGCCTGTCCCTCCTAAACTGTACCTGTTCTTCAATGCGCTTCTCAGAAACCGTCAGTTATCCCCATTCCCGACGGTTTTCTGTCCCCATTATCCCCATCACGACGGCTTCCCGTCCTCATTAACCCCATCCCCGACAGTTTCCCGTCCCTATTCCGCTCTTTCCGACGGTTCTCCATCGCCGTCAGTCACTCACCGAGAGCACGCGGTACCCGCGGCTGGACAGACTCAGCAGCTGGCGGAAGAACACGTCGGCAGTCCCACTCAGCGGCGGCAGGAATACGATGGGACAGGAGACCGAGCGCGGACCGACGTCGTACAGGCGCCACACCTGTACACACGGATACAGACAGACACAAGAAGTTGTGCGTGAACCACAACTGTACACACAGACACAGATAAAAATGGAGTACCTACTGTGAGGTCCACAGTCCACATCACATGCAGTATGGCAGCACTTTGATGTTCTGTAGGTCAGACTAGAGCAGAAAGCTGCAGCTGGATTTCAACAGTGTGTATCAAATCAGTACATTTGAAGAGTTGTCAAAAGGTTCAAAGCCATTTCAAACCAAAGATTTCATCAGCCTCAATGCAATCAAGTAAAAACTAATACATACCTTAACTGACTGACATTTTTCTAACCAAAGAAATTGCAAACAATGAGCATGGGTATACCCAATGATAAGATGTTGCATTAGATATGTAATGAACACATACCTTTGTATCATCGTGGTCAACTATCACACTTTTCAGTGCCACAGTGCTTCTGAATGCTAGATATTCTTCACTCTTGGATATGTTGCTCTGCATTTTGACCAATTCTTAATTGATTTAGCCACAGTTACCAAGCATCAAGTATCTTGTCTCTAAGGTTTCAGAGTGAAAACTATATAGACAATTAATACATGTTCAGGCACTCTGAAAAAGTATTAGTAAATGGTTACAAGACACATCATTCCAAGCCTGAAATGGATATCCTATCATCATAAGAAATTAAAAAAGCAAGTTAATCCACTATCCAGAAATTTGCAGTGAATGTGCCAAATGCCAACCTCATGAAATTTTTCTGACAACTGTTGTAGAATGCAGATGATAACAATTTGAAAAAAATGTCCACAAAAAGACATGGGTTCTGGTTTGACATTGCTCACTTTCATGCATCAGTCACACATTTTTGGATCAAGACATCACCATTTAGCACAAAATACAGGCTCAGCACACACCCCAACCAGGGTAGCCATCCTCATCTGCAGCTTCAACTCAATCCATGGCTGCTGTGGATTGGGTAGTCCGGAATTTGGACTCTAGGCCCGAATTCCATCTCCAAATAAACTCCAGCTAAATTGCTAACAGCTGTGGCATTTCATGGATATTGCTAGCATAGGGAATCATACAAATTGCACAGTAAAATCTATCCATAGGAATCTTGGTAATATCTATAACTAAGCTTTTAGCTGTAATCCAGATCAAACATTGATATTTCACTGAACTCAAACTTGGAATAGGCGAGACAAGAAGACTACTTACTTACTTAGAAGTACAGAATTTTGATAGGCCACTTGGCCTTTCCAATGAAAAATTGTGAAAAACCAATCCCTCATTATTGATGATGAGCATAATGTCCAGAATACATTGACAAGTGACAAGTGACATGAAATAACGGATCAATATAGCATTATGTAACACCTAAAAGCAGAGAATATCATGAAAAATAAGCTGTAGATTGAGATATCATTCACTATCCACTCAGTATTCTTATTTGCTATGCGACATTGAATGTGCTTCCCATATAAAATTACACCTCATAATACGCTAATAATACGCAATTTGACCTAATACACAAATAGCCAGAAAAATAGAAAAGCCAACCGAAAAGGACCATTCGTCTGATTCGTACCACGCACCCACCACGCAACAACGCCATTATCCCAATCCGTTATCCGAGAGTATCACGAATTCACGAGTATGTACCACAAGTAGCACTACCACCAAGGTCACCGAATATCACAAGAGAATGTATCGGGGGTATCAGTATCGGGGTATCAAGAGAAAAGCCATGTTCACATGAGAAGCATAGAAAATCTGTAGTGTATTTTCAAAAATGCACTACCGTTGAAATGCATTTTTGGCGGTAATTCTAGCATATCAGTGATAGTAGTGAGTGAATTTGATGGAATGGCTGCTTTTGAATGACTATCTAATATAAAAATTTCCATGAATTCATATTTTCCCGATCCATTTCACACAAAACCGAGGCTATATAAACCCCCAAACCCCTACAGAAATCGGAAATCGAAACCCCTACGGCTACCATATGGACAACGGAGTCCTGTACGCTAGCGACATCTATGAAATGCCACGACTGTCAGCGATTCGGCTGGGAGTTGATTTGGAGGTGGAGTTCGAGTTTGGTTCGAGTCCGGTGAGTCCGGACTCCCCGAATCCGGTGGACTGGAGGCTGGAGCCGAGAATCGTGCGGATCGAGTTGAAGTGGGAGTCGAGGCAGTTGCCGGTTGGGGTGTGAGCTGAGCCCAAGGCTATATAAACCGCTGAGCCTGTGTCGCCTGTGTTTTGTGCTAAACGGCGCCGTCTCAATCTGAATCCAATGTGTGACTGAAGCATGAAAAGTGAGCTGTGTCGAACTAGAACCATATCATAGTCTGTTTTGTTGACGGTGAAAGCTGTGGACGCTGGTGAAGACTGAGCGGAGTCTAAACATGTTCAAAAATGGCAATTAAATGGCTCATTGGTTGTTCCATTAAATGCATTTGTCTGTTTATTTATTAGTATACTTGTGGACTATTGAAGCTTCGGAACAGATATAATTTTTGCATAAAAAATGTCTTCAAAGGAGGTGTACTGTGTGGTGAGTACCATCTTTATTGTCTTCAGATACCCATAAAAATACTGGATACTTGTTTCATACTGTAGTTATAATGTGTTTCATGGTTACATAAGTGTTTATCCCACCCTGAGAACTGTTGAGTGCTGGTTCATAATGTGACAAGTTCATCGAACCCCTCACTTCTCATGACCAACCCATCTGCATCTTTGTTCAGCATGTCCATGCTGACTCTAACCCCTCTAACCCCAGGTGAGAGTGTGGCTGGGGAGCCTCAGACTGTCTTGATGTGATGTTAGTTGTTCAGCTGTGCACTGTAACAATCACTATGAAAGGAGTTTTGAAGTGCTTCATTGTAGGTCTTGGTGATTCATGATCATTGATTATGTGCTCCACTCCAACTCTGAGCTCAGTCCATGCTGTTCTCTGTGGTCTGTGCTGTTGTGCCAACAGTTTCATGCTTCTGTCATGCCTATTCTGTATTTTTGAAACATTGCAAGGTATTTTTACTAGCATAGGTGTGTGCATTATTAATTATATTTATCATAGTGTAACAACTAACAATGCTAAACTAGTCCTAGATTTGCCCTAGACCATGCTATTGGGTTTTGACTGCTCAGTTGCTGCCCAAATCAATCATTTCTGCCTATCCTCTTCAATCTTCATTCATTTGGTTCTGACCAAAAGAGAAACATTTCAATTTTGAATGCAAATGGAATATTGTTATATGTCTCTGTTTCACTCTTATCCTTTATCAGATTAAGATTAGGTAGGGCCTTGGATTAAAATGAATTTGTCAGGATGTCTGACCTTGTATTAAACTTGCCTTGCTAATGGCCAGTCATGTTGATGCAGTGCATTTTAGCTTGCTGCCATGCTGACTGATACCAACCACTTGCACTCTGACTTCCTGCAACATGACACTGGACACTGGTAATCCACTCAAAGAACGCTCTCTCGCAAACTAGTCAGAGCACCACACTACCATTACCGTTCAGACACCAGCGCTCCCGTCTCGCTCTATTCCGCCACGGCCACCACTGTGGAGTCTGTCGAGCGAAGGACGCCGTGACGTCCGTCAGCTGGCCGCGTTTGTTTACCGGCCGTGCAGGATCGACCTCGGTACGTCACGGGAGACACGAGGTCCGCCACTGCAGGACCGATCTGCAGAGACCAGGGGCGGTCTCAGTAGACGTCCCGTCTTCGTTCTCAGTCTCCCGGTGCCGAAGTGGAAATGGACGGAATTTCAGCGAGATAACCGATGTTTCATTTGTGTGGCTTGCTTGGGTGTTCTATCCAAGACTTCGACACGTCCATACGGTGCAGATCTTTGGTCAGTAGCCTAGCGCAAATGTACTGGCTGGCGGCGCTGACGCTGTTGTCATATCATCAGTTAACGGTAGACTGGACGTCTGCTCGGCCCATTTAAGCAGATCCAGTTGACGCCTTGGGCGAGTGGAGGCTGGCCGGTGCGGTCCCGGTCATGTCGGGCCATCTCGGTCCCAGCCGTGGTAGGCTGAGACCGACGATGGGTCGCCGCGGACCCCGGTTTGGGTCCAACGCCCCCGGTCGGGTCGGTGAGGTGCCCTCGGTCCGACGAGTGGTCAGCCGGTACGACCGTCCCGCACAGCCCTGGCAGCTGCAGCAGGTGGGTGTACAACTGTGGAGGTCGGGTCTCCGTTCTGATAGCTCGGGCCATGGGCGGTGTTACGTTGAACAGGCCGCCAGGACGTGGCTTATCGGTCGTCGGAACGTTCTTAAGACACACAGCGGCGGGGCTCGCCGAATGCCCCCTTCCAAACGAGGCGGTGCTAGATCAGCATCCACCGGCCGGCGCTGGGTCCTACCGTTTGGGTTGTTCACATGTTAGGTGCATGTTAGCCTCGCGTGGTAGTCTGGGGCACCGCGAGGGGTGTTGGGCTCTGGATGGGTCTCTGGGATCATCTGTTGCGTCACTCGCGCTGGTCGACTGTTCCGCTCCAGCACATTAATCGATGGCGCTGATGTGCGTGATGTGGATGCGCGTGTCGTTATTTTTATCACGGCTCGGACACCTCATTATACATATGTAGGTTGTGTGGTATGCTTCAGACTTCAAGAGTGTGGATTTTTGTGGCAAACTATGGTTTTCTGCCACGGTCAATACCGAATTGAGAACCCTACAATCATGTTTGAGTGAGAGATCGATGACATGACTGTGATAAGTGTTGATGACATTGGAGGTCTCCATACATTTTCTCGCATTTATCTAGGTACTCACTTCCCTGTACAACTTATTTCAGCGTATGTTGGTTACAAACCGAGGAAGGTAGATTGCAATGCATTAGTTACGGAGCGAGCGAAGCGAGCGAAGTCTTTCCTTAGATTAACGGAAATTTCTGAGTATGAGCGGCCGGCCGGCCGGCCGGCCGGCCGGCCGGCCGGCCGTGCGGACGCTTTTGCGAGGCTTATATCTCAGCAACCACTTGACCGATTTACACGCGGTAATTTTTGTAGGGTAGCTTCATTCCTTCTACCAAGTATTGGACCATTCCCGATGCATATAGGTGACCCCTTATGCACGTGCCACGTGCAAAACGAAGAGGTGTCAGTTTTGTAATTGTTGCAATATCTCGGTAACTACTTGGCCGATTGCGCTGAAAGTTGGTATGTAGGTAGGCACCCACTAGGCACTGCATATCCATGTGCCAGAGTTGGGGTGCTGCTGCACGTGCGCACGTGCAGGGGTCGTTTCCAGATCTCGAGAACGGCTGGACCGATGGCGCTCAAATTTGGTACACGGTTAGGGACCAGTTAGTAGGGTGCCGTGCACAAGTCAGTTGGGACCCATTTTGCACGTGCGCACGTGCAGGGTGCCGCTCCCAGATCTCGAGAACGGCTGGGCCGATTGTGCTCAAATTTGGCACATCGCTAGAAACCGGTCATTAGGGTGCCGTGCACGAGTCAGTTGGAGGTGCCCCCTCGAAATTTCGCACGTGCAAGACTCAACCCCTCGCTCGCTCCGTTAGTCGCCCCAAAAGGCGCTATACTGGTTAGCAATATCCACAATTACTTTTTGGACTCCCTTGCCACCACAGGTCCTGCTTTGGGCATTTCTGTCCGATTGTTTGACACTGCAGGCCATGACAATGATGTAGCGATGCTTGATGTATGATTTAACTGGCAAACGCCCGACGGTCGTTTATTTATTCATCGCTACTGTACTGAATGTATGACGTACTGCGTTATCGTGGACTTCAAGTAGGTATGAATTTTAAAGGGACACTCCCACCTTAACATTAGTTTTGAGTTGAGATAGCCAAATTGGTGGTCATGGCCTGCAAATACCGGTTTGGGCACTCACAACATCGACAAATGCTTTAATTCGGAGATATGGAATTTCAAACTTGCAGTTTTCGGATTCTAAGGGGCTAGTGCATTGGTATGCCCCCTTAGAATTTGTGACGTCAGCGGAGATCTAACGATTTTTAAATCTTTTACTAAAACGTTTGGTAGCACGCGGGCGTATTTGGAAATTCCGACCTCGACGAGCGTCTGTGGTAGAAAACGACCACTTTGGTAGGGGAAACTACTGCTGTCTGCTACCGTTTGCACTGCATGTCTCGCTGTAGTTGCGACCGATTGCGACATCTATGCAAGTCAGCAAGGGTACGTACCTTAGCGATATACGTACTTTATAATTTACGTACTTTTTCGATGCGTATTTTCGTCTTTGACGTACTTGTGTCTAGGTATACGTACCAGACATGTGCATGGATCCGAGAAAATGGATCTGGGATCTGATCCCACGGATCCTGATCTCGGATCCGTCGGGATCATGGATCCAGCTCTTTAATTTATCAAGAGATCCGTAGGGATCATAGATCCGAGTCTA